GGGTGAGAACACACAGGCAAGCAGTTGGAGTTCAGAAGATCTTTGGAGAATCTGGTCAAACCTCCCTTTCTTTCAAATGAGGGTAGGAGATCCAGGAAGCTAAATGATGTGCCTATGACAGTGACATCCTGGTACCAGAACTCTACTTGTCTCCATCCCTCTACTTCCCTTACAACTCAGGCTTGAACCCTGCAGTGCCAGGAGCTCTGGGTCTCCAGCTGGGATGGTGCTTTATCCAATTCTCTCAACATGTCAGGCCTCAGAGACCTTGGCCGAGAGTGCACAAGTTGCCAGATCATCTTCTAACACCCTCAGAAGCCAGTACTGAGGATGAATACCCTTCTCCACTTCTTTAAGACCCCACACTCTATGTCCAGAGAACACCTTCTCTTGGAGAGCTCCCTGATCCCTGCTTGCGAATTCACAGAGCTCCTTCCTCTGTATGCCAGGTGGACACTGTTCAACTGTGGACACTGCTCTCCTGCTTGATGGTTAGTATGTTTATCAGCTTCTTTCTGTCTTTTGCCATTAAAGGGTAATGAGGAAAAACTTTTTCTCTACTGTGTGTCCCTGCTGCCTGGAAGGTGTCTGGCACATGGTTCAATAGATTTTGTAGAGTGACTGAATTATGCTACGTGGGCAGAGCCTGCATTCTGTAGAGGAAGCAGGCAGGAATGGCAATACACTTGGAGGGTGGGGAGAAAGAGACTTTACACAGCAAACCCTTGGCTTTTTATTGAAGATTTATTATAGATTTATTGTAAATATGGGTATTGATAAAGATTTGGGGAGCAATTAAAGCACTCTCTAGCACCTTTTTGGAGCTCCCTCACTTGTCTGGTTCTTTGCTCAATGGTGAGCTCCTAGAGAGAGGGTCTTCTCATCCCTGTATCCTGGCAGTATCCAGCAGGGCCTCATGCTCACTAAGCACAAGAAATGACCGAATACACAAATACATGAATGGATATGTGAATGAATGAACATATGAATGGACGGTAAAACCTCCCCTAGGGCTGGCCTGCCTGCTTTGATCAACTGATGTCAGGAGCCAAAATAAGGGCTAAGTGTTGTTTAAAACCAAGAACTAAGCTCTGTGGTCAGGCTAGGAAGGAGGGTAGGCTAAGATGTGAGAACCAGTGCAACTGGGAAGCTCCAGTGCAGCCTGAGAAGCAAGAAAAGAAAACGGAAAGAGATAAGGCCATCCTGATAGATGCCTCCCGTGTACAGGAGGTTCAAGTACACAGTGGATGAACTTGTGAATTTCCTGTTTTTAAGACTTTCTTGAGATGAAGTTGCAGCTTTACCCCCCTTCAGCAGTTGTCTGGAATAATCAGGAATAATCAGGCACGTGTGGCCTAGTGCACACGTACAAGTACAAAAGAAACACAGGAAACAGAAACCACCAGGTCAGCAGGCTGGGCTTGCTGGAGTCCTGGGTCATGGTGCTGCTGGCTGTTGGGGTGTGGGTGAGCCTCACCCTGTTGTGTACCCCAGGTCTGAGCTGTAAGGCAGATAGACCACATCACATCAAGTTTGAAAATCCTTTTCACCCCTGAGATTCTACGACTTATATCCCAGTCTCAGAGGGAGTCTTAGTATGAAAGTAAAGGGATTTTCCACAGGTGAAAAATATTAGTTAATATTGCATGAACTAAAGTCATTTAAGATATAACGTATATAATTTACTAGGATAAATATCTATTATTTCAGCAGTTGTTTCTCAATCATCAGCAAAAAGAATAATTATGATAAATGGCAGTTATTCATAAATAGGATTTCTGTTCATTAAAACACTGAAAAAGCAGAACACCTCTTAACCCTCCTGCTGCTAAATTATAATATTTCGAGTTGTGCTCATAATTTATTTTGAGAGTACTTATGTAAAAATTCTGCAGAAGCAGGCATGTTCATTTCTCCGTTAGGTCTTAGAAAGAGTCCAATCACGTACTTTGTTACAGAAAATTAACCTATCTGCATCTTGGTTTTCTCATCTGTAAATTCTGAAGGAGTGGTAAGTTTGAGTTTGTTCATATCTAAGATGGAGAAGGTTCTGTTCTGTGACCCCATATATTCATTCTGCTTCTTCCTGGGGACAGGAAGAAGCTATTCTCCCAAAGTGGCAGAATAGCTGAATCTACAGGTAATTTTATGGACATCCCTCCTGAAATGCATAAGACCTTCTCAGTAGAGGAGACCCCAATCTGACCAACTCTAAACCTGAGTACCCCAGCTGCCAGCCAGTGTTCCTCTGAGGTGCTAAAATGTGGAGGGCCACACAATTCCACCAGAATGTGAAACAGATGGTTTGGGTGTCTATTCCTGGGCAGCTGAAGTTATAGCGCATCCCTATTGCCTTGGCTCACATACATAATCTTCAAGTGAACAATACAGGTAGTACCATCAAGCACAGCTGAATGATGGGGCAGTGTTTTAAGAAATGCATTGAGGCCCTCCCGTGGTGGCACAGCAGTTGAGCACTGGGCCCGCAGCCTCTGCAGCGCTGGTTCGATCCCTGGCCTCTGGCGAGGGTCCCACATGGTGCGACAGACCTCTCCTGCCGCGCCTGCTGCTCCCCTCAGCAGTGTATTTCGTAGGTCTGCCTGTTCTGTTCCCCGCTCTGGCTCTGGTGAATTCTCTTGCTCACCTGTGCTTCTGACTGTACCCAGTGCTTGTATAAATAACTAAACAAATCTTTAAAAAAAAAAAAAAAGAAAAAAGAAATGCATTGATAGGTGATGCTATGGTTGTGTCAATGTCATAGAGTGTACTTACATGACGTATGTCCAACCACACACCTAAAACTTTATGGAACAGCTTTGGGATCGCCATTGCCTGCAGACCCCAACATTACTAAGAGACGCATGGCTGTAACTTGCTATCCCCAACCAGCAGAGGAACATCAGAGGCTTGCAGGTGAGCTGCCCAAGCAGAAAACTGTGAGTCTCTCAGCTTCTCCAAGTTGACGCCCGCATTTCATTTGTTGTAAGAAGTCCAGGATCCTTGACAAGCTGGCCCCACCTACCTCTCTGCGCTCCAGGTGCCGTGTGGGATCAGGTATCCAGACACCCTGTGGGATAACCTCAGGTAACCTCTGGAGGCAGTTAGCAGAATAGCTCTATTTCACAGACAGAGGGTTTCCCTGCACATGAACTTGTCTTGCCTGTGGGTCAGGGTGGGTCATGGAAAATCCTTGGGTTGGACAGACTTGGGTTCAAGTTCCCATTCTGGCCAAAAGAATTTCAATCACCCTTCAAAAACGAAACTAACATGAAAACTTACTTCAAAGATGAAAGCATGGCAAAATCAGACTGTCTTGGCAGTCACCTGACTGAGTATCTTTAGCCTTTACTAGAAGTGGGAATTAATCATGGGAAATTTGATGTGTCTCCCCTCTTGGCTCTGAGTTCCAGGAGGGCAGGGACCAGGTCCATCTCTCACTACCTTTACCCCAGTACCTAGTCACATAGTGAACACTCAATAAAGGAATGAATGCAACACAGCCCAGGGAAGAATATATCAAGCAGAAAGGTCTTCAAGGGAAATCCAGAAAAATGAGGCGGCATCACAGTGCCCAGGCCAATCCTGGCTGCGGGAGGATGCATTTCTGATGATCCAGGTCCCTGCAGGTATGCTCACAGGCTGCTCACATGAATATATTCTAAACTCTGGGGCCATTACATGTAATAAGATGAATGATCTGGCCTCTGGGTCACACGTATCTGTGAGTTGATAAAAGCCCCAGAGACTGTGCCTGCTCACACATGCAACCAGACCCAGAAAGCCTCTCCTTGACATTTCTTGGGGGCACCCACTGGCCCTACATACACAATCCTGGAGAACTTCTGAGGGGCAGGACTTGCTGTCACAATTACAACTTTGCAAGTTTGTCATAAGGATGTGGAGAATGAAAAACACAAAGTGAGTGCTCAGTAAACAGTAAAATCATGACTGCTTTGCATGGCATACATTTAATAAATGAATCAGGATTTCATGAATAAAGATGAACTACATTCTGTCCCGTGCAAGTTTACAGTATAAAGTGAAAACAAGGACCACGGTGAACCGAAGAGGCCCGAAGTCTGGCAGGTCTACGGGGGCTAAGGGAAGGTGGTGGTTAGTGGGAGTGACTGGGAAAGAGCTCATGGAAGATGATAAAAAGCAAGTCAGCACCAGGGGCCACACGCCCACCTGCGGGGCGTGGTCATGTGTGGGTGGTGTACAGTTGTGACAAGTACCAGCGGCAATGCCAGCATCTAGTTTGCAGAGGCCAGAGTCAATAGCCCACAGTGCTCCTGGCATTGGTCCCACAATTGCTCCTATGCCGTCAGCTATCTGCCCTAAGTACCAGCAACTCCCTGATGCCAGACACCAGACACAGTCAATAGGTGAGGGACAAGGGAGTGAAGACTCAGAGCAGAAATGGAGCACAGTGTTTGAGGAATGAGGGAGGCTTTGCAAGGGCAGAGCCTCACTTACCTACTTTTTTTCAGAGCAAAAGGAGGGGCCTGTTGATTTGGAGAGGTTGAGCATTCCTCTGGCCTGCGGTGAATCACACAGGTCTGTTCTGCTGCCACTTGGCTTTGATATTTGCTTCATTCAGTTTGCTGGTCAGTTTCCAGCCCTAAGCCCAAGATGCAGGGAGGCAGGATGGCCACATGGATTGTCTGTCTCCTTTCCTGACCTACCTTTTTCAAAGCCGACAGGCCCTGCAGAATGGGGTGCCGTTGCATTGCTTTTGTTGTATATTATTGGAAGAGGTGACAAAATGCGCATTTAGAAAAAGCAGAGAATATGAGCACACAAACATACACACACAGTAACATGGAAGCTTTCTGGCTGAAAAGGAAATGAAACATACTTTTTCTTTCAAATTTACAAAAACAGAATTTGTAGTATCAAAGCAAGGAAAGTTCTTTAAAGTGGATAGGGTAGCCACATTAAGCACATGGTGTCAGAACTTTTCACCCAGAGAACTACAAAGCAAGCATGCATATACATACCCAACCTGGGCACTGTCGCGATATGGCAGCACTGAAAATATACTACAGAAGGATCTTCTGCCACTGATAAGGACTATTCTAAAAAATAAAAAAAAAAAGAACAAACAACAAACAAACAAACTAAATGCAAAGACTCTTAAATTAAAAAAAAATTCTATAGCAACTTAGCATTCATGGAATTCACAGCAGTATTTGCACGCTCCCGCCACCTCCTCTGACAGATGGTATTCTGCTCTCCTTGCAAAATGCAACCTCAGTGCAGCAGAAGCACACTGCCTCCTTATCCAAATGTTAACATGCGAGAGCCTCTACTGAGCATATATGAACCCTTTCTCAGGTGAGGGCTGCTGGCTGTGGGTTGCACATGCAAAATGGAGCAGGCACAGCTAGGAATGTGGGGTGCTCAGGGCTGAGCGAGCAGTCATGCCACATTTAGACCATTGATTTCTACTCTACGGTGAACAATGCAAGAGCAGTGGTGCCAGAAACTCTGAGCAGGCAAGACACTCAGATGCCTTCATGATCATTAGATTTTTTATATGCTGGCAGCATGTTAGGTTCTGAGAATAAATTAAGGGAACAATTACATAATCAGTCTTAGCTTCCATTCCTGCTATAAAGATACCACTGGAAACAGTTCTACATGATGCTCTTATGCAATCAAAGGCCACTTTAAAAAACATTAAAAAAAAAAAAACAACAACAACTCTCAAAAGTACTTATCCAGGCATCTGAGAATAACTTTGCCAAAGAAAATTGCTGATGAAAAAAATGGAGAAATGAGTGGAGATTAAAAAATCAATATTCTTCAGCATAAAGGCAATTCACATCAGAAATGGAGTTTACTGACTTTTGTAATCTTTTGTAATCTTTTTCCTTCAATGATCATAAATATAAAATCAGGGAAAAACAGTTCTATTAGCTGCACCAAGGCTTGGGAATTTTGACCTCGTTTGAAGACTATGCTATGAAATTGGCTACACACCCAGGGAAAAAGTCAGGTTCCTTGGCACAGCAAACCAAGTCCTGTCTTCTGGCTCTCTCTGCCTCTCCAGTCTCAACACGCACCGTATTTCCCACATCCTGTGCTTTATCATTCATCTGTGCTAAAGAACTTGCAGTTCCCTGCCCCTCCCCCCAATTTGGAAAAAAAATAAACCTGTTTCGTTCCTTTGTCCTTTGCTTACTGTGCCCTACTGCATGCTTGGTGAGCTCCTATTTATCTTCAAAACCTTGCTCAAAAGTCACCTCCCTGTGAGCATTTCCTCCCCCTTTACTTGTTGGTGCTGCTTCTGCTTCCTTATTCCACTTCCAAGGGTGCACTGATCACAGAGTGCTGCTAACCACTTGCCACCCATCTCTTCTGGAGCTTGAGTGCCAGGGATTAGCACGCAGCCATACCTCCATGAGTGCAATGTGGGCAAAGCCAGCTTCAGAGCAGCATCCAAACCCTGGCACTGGTGGGGTGGGACCGCAGCTGTCTGCTTAGGCCACGGTGATTCACTCTGGCAGTGGCTGCCAGCACTGTCAGATTCCAAGTGCTTTAACTGATGAGGCACCGGGGAGTGAGGTACCAAAGGTGAGGCACTAGCAGGTGTGGCCGACCAGGACTTGGACCTGTGTTCTTTACCACCATGTGCCTGGATGCTCTGCTGTTCTTTTAGTGTAACAGGGTGGTCCCCAGGAAAGGGGGAGGTTCCAGGTTCCCTGCCCCACTCAAATGGAGGGTGGAGCTGAGTAGGTTAGAGAAGAAGCTGTAGAGGAGACTGAGGAAGGAAGGAAGCAGGATGGAGATCCAGAAGGAGACCTGGAGGAGGCACATGGGGCCAAGGGACATGTGAAGAAATTGCGCTTGTCTTTGGTCGTGGACTGGGTGACACAGATGTGGGTGAGAGACCCGAGGGGAGGTGACAATGGCAGCTTTTATCTTGATTTTGATTTTGCTCTTTTCCTTCCGGGCTGTCTGGTTGTTTCTGGCCCTTTTCTGTGGGTCCCCACTCGAAGATGCTTTAGACTTGTGGCAGGCTTTGGGGCCTTGCTCTGGGCCAATCCCATTTGGATGGAGTTTTACCCACGAGGAGACGGGTAACTTTGGGTGCTTGATTTAGAAACTAGATTCTTTGCCTTACCTGTATTGTTTCCTAATTGTATTAAAGGTCCTTCCCATTAAAGTCTCCTATGTTTTTGTGTTGATGTGGCAGATGGCAGAACCCATTTAGAATAGGAAGGTTTGGGGGGTCTGGGGTGCACCTCTCCCTGCCCTGTAACATTAGATTTACTAGAAAAGTCTGCTTGTGGGTTTGAATCAGTCCCTATGGACTTCTGGGACACCAAGTCTGCCTTCACAAATGTTTTCTAGGGTGGCTTTCAAGCCTGGCCTGCAATTACAGCATGAGGGGCCAGAGGGTGACCAAGCACAATAGCCCTGACAGTGAGGCTGCTGGACCTCCAGGCAGCTGATCCTCCTGCTGTGCTCAGCCTGGAAGGACAGAGCTTCCTCACACATCCCTTACCACCAAGAGAAAAGACTGGAACTACTCATGTCATTGGACACCTGTGTATTCTGCCTCAGAGGGTGGAATGTGTTGAACAAACTAAACTGGCTTAGTGTAACTGCGTTTTCTTCATTACTCAGTACTAATGAGTTCTCCCTTCCCACAAGTCAGATTTGAACATTTTTAATAGGACAAGAAAATAAGACTATGAATGCATGTGAAGTAAAAATATACTTTCCCAAATTTCAACTATAATGTATACCTATTAGTGAATGGACTGCATTGTTCTATTAAATGAGTGCTCAGACCACGTGGTCTTCATTGAGGGAGAAGCTGACAGCATGGGTCTCTTCAGAAAAGTATGCTATTCTAATGCAGAAGTCAATTTAAGCAACTACAAACATGCATGACTCCCATTAATTTCAGCTGGAATGGTCTTTCTCTGGTTGGCTATTTTTAAGCAGATGGGGGGAGAAAGGAGCACTTTCCTTCCATTCTTGGGCCTAACCATCCTGTAGACTTCTACTTTCTGCAGGGACAAGAGTAGGACTCCAAAGCAAAGACCTGCGCAGCAGTGCTGCAACAGGTTTGCAGCTGTACAAGCCCTGGGATCCTGGACCTCGCCAACAGAACTTTCAATACCACATCCTACGTATTTCCTGAAGTAGCCCTGGAATCTGGGAGGGACTTCAGGCCTTAGCCAGACCAGGCAAATATCAACAAGTGGTGAGCTGTAGAATTCTCTGCTTCCTACACCAGCAACTTTGAGCAATGAGATTATAAAGACCAATCCCTGTGTCCAGAACTGGGAGGGTTCATGTGCAATTGCAGCCTTGCTCTTTATAAACACAGGGCAAGGTCCATCATTAGAGATGCCCAAGAGGAAAATGAGATCCATTTGCCTCCTTCAAATGCTCCAATATTTGTGAAGGAATTAAACCATGCTAGGGGAAAATGTAAGATCACCAAATTCCATTTCCAATGGGTTTCAGAAATTGACTTTCTTCGTGTTTTTGCTTCTAAACACTGTTGATATCGTCTTTTATGCCCAAATAGCATGCCAAAAGCCCACATAATTTTCCCCCATATGAATATAAAACATTTCACTTGGAGTTAAGATGACCAGAAAGCATTACAGAAAATATTATGATTTCAAAAGAGGAATTAACTCCAGGGAGATGGGTCTTTAAGGAATTAAAGATCACATTTCCATACTAACATCTGCCAGAGAGGGGGAAAAAAAAAATTAGCAAAGGAAAAAACTCCCCAGGGCTGCTGCTCACATGGATAGGGTCCCTTTGGATACACAATGTCTTCCAAACCTTTCCAGGAAGCATCAAGAGTGTTCTGCATCTGGAACCCTAACCTTCTTCATCTATTTCATTTTTGTACTTGTTTGCATGTAAGATCCTAGAGTTCAGAATGGCCAGGAGATATGGACAGAGCACCAAGATCACCTTCATTTCATCTGCTTTCAACTGCTCAGCCCATTGCCAACAATGTCTGATCAGGCAATATCTAATGCCATCCAAGGTTCTTAAGCTTTCCCTTATGCCAATATTTGGCTGCTTGTTAGAGTTCCAGAACCCTGGTGAGTCCCTATTGGATGTGATACGGTTCTATCTCTTCTAGATGGAATATCTCATTGTAACAGAAATATTTTCTTGAGGACATAAAAACAAGCGACCAACTTCAACATTTAGAGAAAAGAAAATCACAGTGGTGGGTGAATATAAGGGTGCATGAACACAACTCAGGGGTGTCCAGAACCTGGGAGTGTTGAGGACCCAAATGAGATACTGGAACACACGTGAAACACATTTCCATGCTGTACTTCACTCCCTGCATGCTCAGAAAGCAAGACAGAAAATGCTTAACAATGCTGGTGGTGTCGGTTAAATTTTGCTCCCCCTAAAACATGTTGTATTTCTATCCCCTGTACCTGTGCATGTGTGTGGCCTTACTTGGAAATACAGACTTTGTAGATGTAATCAAGTAAGGATGAGGTCATACTGAATTGGGGTGGCCTCAGCTCCAACAACTGGATTTAATGAAGCTATCTGGACATGCCCAGACGCACGCAGAGGGAAGACACCATGTGACGAGAGGCAGGGACTAGAGTGATGAGGCCAGAACTCAAGAACACCAAGGACCACTGACCACCACCAGGAGGTAGGAGAGGCAAGGAATAATCCTTCCCTAAAGTCCTTAGTGGGTATATAGCCCAGTCGGTACTTGGATTTCTAACTTCTGGCCCTACAACTGAGAGAGGGTGCATTTTGGTTGCTGTAAGGGACCCAGGTTGTGGTCCTTTGTAGGGCAGCCCTAGAAAGTGAATACAGCTGCATTCAGTCACTTTCTTGCAGTGCTACTCAGCTGGAATCTGGGAGGGAGGTCCTCTGTGTCCTTAAGCTGCATCAGCGGGTGAAGAGATGATGTTCTAGTTCAGAGAGCTGCAGAAGATAGGGACCCAGAAGCCTGAGCCCAAGGTGGGGCAGGTGCTTGAGAGCTGGGTGGAGCACTAGAGGAGTGGGATTCCAACAGGTAAGGACAGGGAATGTGGAGTCCAGCATTCAGGGAAAC